AATATGAAAGGAGTGCTTGCTAACGTAGCTGTATCGACAACGAATTGGTAGGGGTGTATATCTGGGACATAATTGGATTTGGACTGATGCGGAAACGTTTACGAAATTATTTGCACGGCTTGCATAATTTATGAACTCTGAAATGGCTGATACAACAATAGGGCAGAGTGTCAAATATTAGGTAGTGAGTTAGTGGTGCCATGGCGGCATGTACTTGGAGTTGTAGAGAATGTGGTACCATAACCTGCTTCGTGTACGTGTGTGATCTATCCATTATGAATATTAACGATAACAGGCATGTCAGTTGGCGAGTTAGAATGCACAGCTTCGGGTATGAGTGGTATGAGTGGCAACGCAATTGTAGTAACTAGTTAAGTGCGAGAACTAACGTAGTCACCGCTTAGCATAGGATGTCGATTTTCCTAGATTCGTAGATATGCCCTCTATAGCAGCGCAACATCAACTTCCAAATCCATACCAAAACACGCAGTCGTGCTTCGTATACAAACACGATACAAATGTGCTCACACGCCCGTATTAGGAGTATTGGTATCCAGATGGAGCGTGCATGCACATACATGTCATGCAAGCCTGTACTATCCATTATCAATATTGCAGAGTGCAGCCAGCCACTCCAAAGGCACGCCCACTTCATCGGTAAGCACCACTGTTCGACAGACTGGCTGTAGAAACATCGCAAAGAGCACTCAGCTTCATCCACGCAATATTTTATGGAATGTTGATATAAGTTGGCGCTTCTTTCTTTTCACAGGTGGTAACGCGCCCAGAACCATACAGGCACGACGAGCGGTCTGCACAAATCCGGCAGTACTTTTATGGGCATCCAGTGAGTATGTAGTGTGTCTTATGTACCTTAGAGCGCGTCCCCACGTTTTCGCATGTATTTTCTTATAGCTGAGAAGAGAGTTTTGTATAGAGAAGAATTTATGAAGCGTTGGTCAGTACGATTATAATTCATCAATCCGAGCGCATATTGTTTGAAAAAATGTATTGCATTGTGCGTATTCTACAATAGAGGGCGAATGCCTCAACAATATCACTTGACCAACACAACAGCGGTGTTTTCAATGTAAGTCTAAATTGCAGTAAGAAACCTGCCACATCACACCCTTGTCTTCGACTATCTAATATCTAACTGATTTTCTCTGTGCAATCACGTCTCCTTACAGCGAAAGACGACAAGATAATCGGGAGCACGTTATTCCCGCACTCCCTGGTCGTGCCGTTTGACTCTGTCAAGGTCTTCAAAATTGGAGGTAAGCTGATTTGAGACCACAAGGTCTGGTCCTACCCTGTTCGATGGAGTGTTCCGCAATTGGAGTGGTGTGACTTTGCATCTACAAGTAACGATTAATAAGTAGCATGACAATGAGCGATCGAATGACTGGGATTTACAGCATATAATGTTGGGCGCATGAGTATTAGCTTGGAGTACTACTACATAAGCGGTGTATGTCGATGTCAATATGTGATACTTTTTACGTGAGGGTGGTATGTTTCGATATATATATGGTGTCTACCTGCAGAACTGGGTAAACCTTTCACTGCCGTATACACATGTGTTGGCTCGTGCCGATTCTCAAGATCGGATCGCTTGATTAACATAGAGCTATGCTCATTAATCTGGAAGTATTTACACGTGCGGTACAGTGCTTTATATACGTGCGCTCGCCATAGGATTGAGCACGAGCAGCTTTATATCTCGAGCATTGCTGTATTTAAAGTCAGATCTATAATTTCTTTGTTGCGACCCGTTTCGTGCTGAGCTACAATTTTGTACTTCCGTAAATTCGTTCTACCGGCTAGTAGTTGGTTCTATTGCAATAGAATCGCTGGATAAAATAATTGAGCGGGGACAGGTATATGTAATATTTGAGTCTAACTTCCGTATATTCATTCTACCGACTAGTAGTTGGTACTATTGCAATAGCATCGCTCGGCATGGACAGAGAATACTGATTACAGTCTAATAGTGTATTTTCTATCGCACACCTTATCGCTCTTGTTCAAACGATTCCGCTTTCCACGAACATGGTCATTGAGAAATACAACCGACTTCGCTGTTCACAAACCGATTTGTGTTTTGCACACTCAGTGGTTTCTTCATTTGTTGAAAAGTGACCGGGATCTCTTTCAAATTAGATTTTTCATTAGTAAGGCGGGCCCAATTGTGTCTATACCCTTTGGGCTTTATTCGTTTGAAGGAAAAAGTAATAGTTTCCTGAGAATAACTTTTGTTTGAGAGATGGTCGTGCAATATGTCTAATATTAGGCTCGGCGATTCAATAGTTCTATCTTGTTTGTGCTCATACAATTTTGCAATACGCAGACACCATGTAGGAGCCCATGCAAAAGCTCGAATTGCGCCCTTGCACGAGAAAAATCAATTTCAAAATTCCTTTGCTTCCATTTCTGCAACTACAACTTTATGACGATAGTGTATAGCTCAAACTATACCCAGCGAAAGTGTATGATAACACGTTAGGGCTTTAACTCGAAATTTTTACACATCAGCTCTTGAGATTGAAGCACCAACAGCTTACTATTCTGAAGGTGGCTAATGTTCAGATCTACCGGGTTTTTTCATTGAACACCATTTTTCGCCGAAATGAAATTTCGAAAGCCTCCACTATTCATTGTGTATTATCCTCTTGAAAGATTCTTTGCAGTTATTTCTTCAATCGTAATATTTGCCCTCCTCGTCCAAGCTAGCGCGAGATTCGCTTACGCGATCATAGCCTATTTTGAAGTATATTCTGTGGGCTGTGCCTCGTTAAATCAGAAGCTATGCGGTATACCCTGCTCAATTGTATTGTTCACTCCTCTTCTGAATTAAATTTTGCTAACGCCACATGAATGAATTCCATCCTACAACCTACAGCACCACCGGTCCCCCAGTGGTGTTTGCCGGCAGGCGAGGACCCTACCAAAAACGAAACACAAGCAACGCCCGTAGAACTGACCCAGGAACTAGCACATTCTTTGTTGAGCGTGTCGAGTGCACCAATGAGCGAGGGGATAGATATAGATGCGATAGTCAACTACAGCGTGCAGGGGTTTGTGTATGTGACGAGCGTCAATATGGAGGATAGTACGATTACTCTGTTATCCCCCAGTCCCGGTGGGTTGCCTGGAGAAGTGCTACTGAAAGGGGAGATAACTTGGGTAGAATGATGTGGGCAAACATGTATTTTGCGGTGAGGCTAGAGGCCTGCAACCTGCCAAATAAAATATTTGGAGATTTAGGATGGGAGGTTGGGGGGCGGTTAGTAAATATATGATTAAAAAAGTAGACTTCAGCTGTTGTATTTAGGAGGCTATAAGCCTACGACCCGACGTTAAGCTTCAGAATCACCGAATCAGCAAGCAGCGGGAAACGTCTCCATGCATAAATCTTATTTTAAATACATAAATATCTATACACGTATTTACATAAATTAAAAGCGGTAAATACAGACGTGGGTTTTGGGCACAATGGGCAGGGTCTTGGGAGTTGGTCAGTTGGGTCGTGGAACTGGTTTGTTGTTTTTTATACAAAATAAACATAAATAACAAGAGGTGACTGACTGACTCATGACTGTGATCAATATCATAGATTCAGTTTTGTTTAAATAAAAAAAAACATCTAAAATTGGAACAGAACTTTACGGAGGGCTTTAAATAAAATTACCTACTTAGAAGGCTAAAATATGTCCATGTTTGATTTGTTTTTGTTTTTGTAAAAACAAAAAAAGAGGTCTGTGTTTATTTTATTAATATTGTTAAATAACAGTACATACTACATACAATTTCTATAAAACTCAAAACTCAAAAACTGTAGGATTTTGCTTTACTATTATTATATTGGAAAAAAATATGAAGAGTTCATGGACATGTTTGGAAATGCCGAACGCGGAATGCCGAAATTGTTTTAGAAATTTATATTCGAGATTCATTCGCAGCTTTAGTTCTGAAGACTTCGAGAAGTTTATTGAGCAGAAGATTATACAGATGTATAAGCCAATGAAATGATTTCAGTTGCTCCATCTTTTGGTATTTACGCTGTGAAAATACTTCTATATTCAATAATAATTGGTAGCATTTACACACTGTAAAGGGCCTTGTGCAATCTCTGCCAATCACAACATTCTCAACAACTGACCTGTACCGTACTACCGTCCGATGACCTGCTGCATTTGATCACATTTGTACTATTAATGAAATGTACTGGCGAGTAGAATTCGAAGAATCACGCGTACGGTCGCCACAAACCCATTTCTCATCCCCAGTCTACACACTACAGTCAACAGTGATCGTACAAGATGAATGAACGGACGATCGAGTGATGGTTTATAATATAGGAGAGTGCGTGTCATGCATATATAAGTCAGCAAGCAATAATACAACAGTCAGACCAGTCAAGTTCAAAACAAACAGCCGGATCACTTCCTTTTGAAAAGCTACATCATACACTAGACACACACAGCAGAGAAACAACATGCAGTCAATTACTAACGCATTAGTACGAGCCAGTAAGGCTGCTTCCAATCAAGAACTCGCTGAAATAAAGACACACTCACATATGATCAAAGATCTAGACACAAACATTGGTATGGACTCTGTTGATTCGGTTGATTTGAGTGATTACGATTCTGGTTCCCCTAGTGACGACGGTGAAGACAAATTGTCAGCTGTGCACCACCGCCAGCCTGCGAGTAGGCGGAGCTCAATACTGCAGACAAATCATCCTGGCCTGATACGCAATACCAGTCGCGTGAGTTTTGGGCGTCGTGTTTCGGTTTGTGAGACATTTGCGCCCAATGTCTACGACAGGACGGCCGCAACGAGTGAGGTCGACAGCACGTCAACGGACATGCTCGATATTGCGTATTGGCTGGACAATTTCAAGATAAACGAGATGGATGTCCATCCCAGCAGTTTGGAAAATACGCTCATATACATGCCCAATGCATGACTCGACACTTGTGTAGTGTGATAGACAATTTCGGCTCTGGTATCAGCCCATTAAAATAGCGATAATCATAATCCCCTCCACCGTCCATTTGTTTATTTGAGTAGTGTTGGGATCGTGATTTGTTAGCGCACCCACAAAGTGAGCCGCATGTTTTCATCATAATGGGTGCCACACGATTCATACTGTATAAAATCTTTTAGAGTGTCAGGCACGTGAGCAATGCGTATATAATTCGAGTGGGTGTATTTGCGAAGCTTAAAGATCATACTCGTGGAGGGGAGCATGTATACGAATGATCCGATTGATTAGATCAGTTGTGGATATCTACTTACAGTCAATTGTCGTTAGCCTGTAGAAGAAAATGTCATAACGCCGGTATACTATGTCTTCCATTTGAACATCATACATATATGCTCACTATCAAATAGGTATCGGGCAATTGTATTCATGTAGAAACCAAACCTAACCTCAATACAAATGACTTCCAAGTGTGGTGAAAATGCATTCTCAAACGGATACTTAACTGTGGAGAGTTATATGCTAACCTAAATCAGTTCGTTCTTCGTATCGAGTGCGCGATCTTATATTGTGTGCATAAATGGAGAAATTTGGACGCCTTATTCGAAAAAGAACATGAAGCATGAACATAAACATAAACATAATGATATATACACACACTCACAAACACACACACGCACACACACACACGCGCGTGTACACACATACACACACACAAACACAAACACACACACACCGCGTGAACACACACACCGCGTGAACACACACACACACACACACACACACACACACGCGTAGTACACACACACACACACACACACCACCACACCACAAC